TTTGAAATGCTTCAAAATCTGAAACTTTTTGAGCACCAACATGACTGGAAATCTCCACACCTGACCTTGTGATGGGTCACGGTCAACATGCAGGTGCACAACACAGTCTATTCAGTGTCCCGAGGGAAAAAAGACTTTTCCAGCCCCTTCAGCTGTGGTGCATCTTTTCTGAGACTTGAATGCGTGGATGACTGTGGGAGGGGCAGAAGCACATAAGAGGCAGCAGCAGTGCATTCTATTAATATGCAGTATCTATAAGGAAAAGATAAGCACATCTGAAATTTAAAATAAATATACAAGTTCATTAATAAAATCATGTGAATAGTGCTTTGTAAGTTATAAAATGACACATACACTTCTCCTGTTTCATCTTCATAACCACAATAAAATGTATTATTTTCTCCATTTCTAGAACATCCATGTATTTCTAGGTATTGGCAGCATAAGGCATAAGTATTATGGTCAGTACGTATTTTCCTGGTAGTTGGTGTTTGCCGTTCCCACCTGAGAGAGTGTTGAGAATGACTTTTGTCATCCTCCCATCTTCTGTTTTTGTACCTCTCACCCACTGCCTGGGCCTTTCCCCTTTGCCCTGCTCTCCAGGCACATCTTGCCTTTGTGCTGCTCATTGGCTGCTTAAGCCCCTCTCCTTCCTGCCTACCATGCTCCCCTCACCTGAGTCTAATCTCTCTGAAGTGCCCCATTGTTCAAAATCACCTTTTCCATCTGTGTCTCCAATTCCCAAACCGAACTGCCATTTCCTGCAAAAGTCTAATCCCAGGTAAGTGTTGGAGGTTTCCTGGCTGTGTAAGCCGGGCTGTGTGTGTGGGTGGGGATGGCTGAGTCAGTTCAGCCAGGCAGTGGAGCCAGGGCTGGGCAGTCCCTAGCCCTCTGAAAATGGATGCATGATAGTGTGGACAGGCTGCAAGCCTGGGTGGTCGTAAGCAAGGGGGACACAGGCTTAAATGCAGACTGAGGCTACGGTGCAACCAGCAGACAGAGGCTTGGGCAGAGGGTTGCAGATCCCACCCTAAAGGAACAGAGATGTCCTTTAGAAAATAATAGAAGCAGAAGTGGGACACAGTCTGAGTTGACACCGGGTCAGAAGCAGTCAATGGCACTTTCTTTTCCATTGGTGATATAATATATTTTGATAAGGAAAAATGCAGGGGCAGGGGTGATAAGAAGAACAATATTATTACTTATCCTAAATAAAATCTTAGTTAGCAAGCCCCATTAATGATCAAATAATCTATGCACATGATCGAGTAGAATTTACCCCTAAACTCAAGAGTTCCTTAACACAAAGTATCAATATCATTCATCCTATAAACTAAAAATATAGTAAAAAATTTAATTATTTATATGGATGCTAAAGGGAGCATTTAGGTTTAAAAGCAGCATATATTCTCTTTACATCAATATACATTTTGGTCTGCTTAGAAGATGTAATGTATTCCAGAACATTATCCGTTTTGAGTAGAATGATGGAAGCCAATGGAAAACTTGATAGCTGAAACTTAATCATCTCTAAAGCAACTAATTTCTCTTCATGTGGAAATTAGCTCAGCTATAAAGAGGTGAACTGTCATACCTGTTCCCCTAGGCCTGGAGATCAGTGTTGGAAAATACCAAATATCAATGTTGGATAATTTGAATTCATGCTTGTTTCACTCACTTCTCTGCTCTTCTACAACTTGCAGG